GCTTGGAAGGCGGTGAAGAAAGCCCGTGAAGAGACTGGATGATTCGGGGTTGCAGCGCGCCATCAAACGACTTGCCATCGAGGGCCGCTGCACTGACCGTAGGTAGGGAGCTGGTCGGTGACGAAGATTGTGTGTGGTTGGCCGGTGGTGGTGTAACCAACTCTGCATCATCTTTCTGGGTTGGCACTGTAGGGGAAGACGAAGCGCGTAGCGATGCCGAATACTGAGCCTGGAGCAACTCATGAGCACGATTTAGATCATTGAACTTCTTGACCATGTCTTCTGCTTGGGTAGAGGGCGTGAGAGTCGCGTGGTGTTGCTGAAGAAACTGAAGCACCAGGTTGGCCAAATGGTCGTGAACCTTGATACGTTGGTTGAAGTCGTCAAGGTTGAGCCCCAGCGAGTTGGCAAGGTCCTTTTCCAAAGTAGGTTGATCGACTGTGATCGTCGTAGTAGTTTGGAACAGGTACTCCAAAGCAGGGCCTTGGTGCGAGTGCGAAAGCCTTCCCACGTCACGAATCTGCCGTGAGCAAATGGTCGCAGTAGCCAGTTGGTGATGCCCCGTGAATGTTGTGCGGGGTGTTGGCAACCGTCATGGGCAGGCTAAAGGAGTAGAGCTGGTTGATGTCTAGCATGCCATCACCAGGTGTCCAGTCAACCGGTGGAGTAAGCCATGCTTTCTGAGGTCGAACTGGCAGCGCAGCTGGGTGTCCAGGCGATGGTGAAGCTTGGGAAGAAGTAACCGGTGGTGGCATATGAACTTCGCTGGCGTGGGCTCCGGAGGAACCGGCATCATGTAGGTGACCGGTGAATGATGAAATTGCTGCGTAGGGTTTGGATTCGATTGATAATTGCCTGGCATCACTGGAAAGGTGTTGTTGGAGTTGTAGCCCGAATTGTGTTGCCAGGATACCAAGTTGTTCCAATCCATGCCCTCCGAGACCTGATTGTCATTGTGTTCACGTCGGCGTGCTTTGCGAGGCTGAGGGGAAGGACTCCGATCCCGTCTGCGCCGAGTTCTGGATCTGTCACGATCATCCCGACGCGACATGACAAAACAACAACACGTTCGAGAAGGATAAAGCTCATCCTTGAGGAAAGATACAAACAACAAGCCACAATCAACGGCAGCTCATGAAAGCAGCGGCAGCCAGCGTGGTGAAACGTAGCTATGAAGAGGTGGCTGTCTTCCCTTTAGTGAAACCTCGTTCCTGGTTAAATGTGAAATTCGGCTGATCTATGATAAGCACGTTGATGTCAAATTTTCCGACAGAGTCGGCCCGGGGTCACACGATGGGTCTTCCCCACGAATGGGGTGTACACACTTAAACTCCAGATGGAGGGTGCTAATCTTTCGAGTACAACTGGTAAGTTTCGGCTTGGATAAGGTTCTTCATGCATAAGTTTCGGCTCGCAATGCACTCGGCTTCCCTCTAGTGTCGAAAACGTTACCCGAAAGAACAAGAAGCACAAACAGCGCCGCAACCAAGGGGGCCAAAAGGTCGTTGCATCACGGCAGGTACGTCAGCCAGCGTCCTGGACTGATTTCACGATCCAATGGTGCGGTCTTCGTTGGGCGATGCACACCAAAGGAACCATCGCCCCCCTGCGCCCAATTGTGGTGACAGGGTATTCTGCCACTCCGCACACACACACACACACGCACACACACACACACACGCACCCACACACACGCACCCGCACGCGCACGCGCACGCGCACGCGCACGCGCACGCGCACCCACACACACACACACACACACACACACACACGCGCGCGCGCGCGCGTGCACGCACGCACGCACGCACGCACGCACGCACGCGCGCGCGCGCGCGCGCGCACGCGCGCACACGCGCACGCGCGCGCGCACGCGTGCGCGCGTGCGCGCGTGCGCGTGTGCGCGCGTGCGCGCGCGCGCACGCGAACGCGCACGCGCACACGCACACGCCACACCACACGCACACACGCACACGCACGCACACGCACACGCACACGCACACACACGCACACACACGCACACACACACCCACACACCCACACGCACACGCACACGCACACGCACACGCACACGCACACGCACACGCACACGCACACGCACACGCACACGCACACGCACATTCACACACACACACACACACACATTCACGCACATTCACACATTCACGCACACACGCGCACACACGCACAGACGCAAACACACAGACACACACCAACAAAAAAAACATGCACACACCACGCACGACGCACTGCTGGCTTCTGTGGGATCACAGGCGTACATTGTCCCTCAACCCTGTCAAGCACGATGGAGGTGCCAGGGTCACTGATTGGATTTGTTCTGCTTCGCACTGATCGCTGCAAGAAGCCTGGAATCTATAAACATAGACGCCTGGTTTCGGAATGGCCGCTTTGATTTGGCAAAACATCGAATTGAGGTTCAACCAGTGGCAGGGGCTGCCAGCGTTTCACCCCCGCAAGCGGCGCATCTCTCGGCTTTGCGTCCACAAGGCCTTGGGCTTGCCTATGGACCACCCCAGGACTCATCAACCCGAAGCTTCAGCGGGGCGGGGGGAAGGAGGCAGCCGGGAGGCTATGGCTCGTGTCTCGTTTTTCCTCCGGCCCCGGCCCTAGGTTCTCGAATCTGACACCGTCTAAGGGTTGGCTGAGACGCACCCAGTGCACAGCACTCGACGCGAAAACATATGCGCGCGTCATGTATTATACGTCTTGCCCCTGCGTTTCTGTGGCTCGCGTGGCTTCCACATGTTTCGAAGATGGACAAGAGATTGATAGAGCAAACCACTAGCAGCCCCGGCACGGCTTCCGGAAGTCGGCCCGGCTGGCATGGCCCTAGCCGGGGATTCGGAAAGGCCGCCTAGCCTCCTAGCAGCCGGGGCCGCTTGCATCCAAATGTGGAAGGGATGTCCAACTCTCCGATCAAACAGCTCTCGAAAGTTCAGGTCAGACATAGGGTCAGACATGATGGAGCGGATGCCTTCCAATATGCCTGCTCGGATACATTGCTCTCTGCTGGATGGTAGCGTAACCAATATTGCAGTAACTGCCAGTAAAGCCGTCTTGCTCAAAGACGACCGCCTTTCCGCACTAGCCCGTTGTAACAACCCATGGCACGTCAAATACGCCACACCCCACAGCTTGTTCCGAGCAGGAAACATCATCAACCAAGAGAGTAACCACGTCTAAGCCTATATCGGCTGGAAGGATTGCCTTTTCATGGCCTTCCAGGGCATAGGGCTCAAGGGCGCATGGCTGGTCGAGAAGACCGATGACCCTAGTCATCAAGTTGGCTTCATACGCTTGACGTACCCAGAGTGTGTCTGAACTGAGCGCGTGTGCCACAACAAACGCCTCACAGAGTTGCTGATTGCTCACCGCTGGCTCAAGACCTTCAAACACCTGAAATATGAGATACCAGCAGGGGCTCGAGAGCTGCAACTCTCTGTCCCGTCTTTCCTTTTTGTCAGGCAATTCGGCGGAGTTCCCCATAGCCCACAAGCAAAGTAATTGCTGAGCTCGGCTGGCAAGATCTGAAGGCTCAAGCTCTTGAACATATGGTTCGTCTCGATCACGGTTGTCCTGGCTACTCACATGGGACAACGTGCATATCTCCCCCGTCGCAACCTCCACGTCCGCCTGCGCTATTCTTTGATGGCAAGCGGGGCATCTTCTGATAGGAAGACAGTGGTGGCACAGCCTTATGTCGACTCGTCCGCTGGCTCTTTGCTGAGATCCTCCGTGAAGCCCGCGCTGTCCCGGGCATCCGTCAACCCGGCAGATAAAATGGTGCTTTGCCGGATGCGGGCATCCCAGTGTGTGGCATATGAGGTCACTTCCAGGACTACTTGTCGAAGTTGCAGCTAGCGCCGCGTGCTGTTGCTCTCGCGTCTCCATCTGATGAGGCCCAACCAGCTCGTGTGGGCCCAAAGCCTACAGAAATGACACTCTCTGCAGTGTATGCCACTGAATGAAACATGTTCCATGCGGATTACGCTTAAGGTCCAACAAGGGATCGTCCCTCGGCACACTTCTGGATGTAGAGGGGCTTCAGAAATATGGATCCTCCTTTCAAGTCCAAGAGGGGAATCCTTAACCGGGCAAGGATTGGGGGATGGTTCTCGACAAAACGACCTCTGGTTGTCAACACCTTTTCACCATTTGTTCGCTCGAACGACATCACCGTCTTGAAGCAAAAGGAAGCTCCCCCCCTGTTCCGGCCCCCAACGGTGATGTTATGTCCACCAAGGGGAAAGCCAAGTCTGCTGTGCCGAGTTGATCCCAGTTGAAGCAACCTTTCTACACCCCCCACGTTTGGGGCACACCTCAAAGACACCACCCTCTCAAAACAACTCGGGAATCGGCTGGTAAACGGGAAGCTGAATGCAAAAAAACAACAGTCCCACACTGGAATGGCTAAACCAAACAATATTGGAGGCGCACTGGGGGTTGGCGCGTTTGGCTTTCCAGTTGGAACAATTCTATGTGGCCTTCCGGTGATGATCTGTTCCATGTTGCATGGGAAACCGAAGCCCGAAAGTTCCATCTGGGCGGAACTTGGCCCCAATTGAATCTCTTTGCCTTGGCGGCGATATTTGAATTTTGGAGGTCAGCTTCAATTTTGAGGGGGGGCCTTGTTTTAATACAATATGCCGTTGTAGGGAGATCGACGGAACATTTATCAGCGTGCGGGGAAGCTGCCGATTTTGTTTAGCTACCATGTTCACTTTCATTGCTGGATTTGGGCACTGTTACATAGGTGTATACATATTTGTATACATATATACATATGTTCGCCTGATTCACGAAGAGTTGCTCGAGCTACTGGCCCAAAGGCTATGCGCTATGCCACGATTCAGCGCCTGCTCAGCACGACTTGAAAAAAAACACAGCAAATGAAGCTGACTATCAAGGTCAATCCTTTCAAATCTCGACTGCAAGCTGACCAAACAAGCAACCCGCAAGGTTTTGCAGTCTAGGGGCCGGACGATGAGGCGCCGGGGCTTGTTCTGCAGCTGGAAAATGCCCGTGTTCTTGTGCTTGCCCTCCGCCTTGTGCCACCGACGCAGCAGCCAGAATCAAACCGCGAACGCTTTTCTCTACATTCTAGGAGTTCTGGAAATGAACCTAGGGACCCCATTCAAGCAGCCACAAGGAATTGTTAATAGGGTTCCCAAATGGAACCTGAGCGGGCTTCCCTGAAAATCAACTTTCCCCTAGAAACTCTTAGAGGGCACCTCTCCCTGAACCAAAAACGCAACTCCCTTTAGGGATTCCTTGCGTCTTCTGTACATTTGCACGTCTTGTGGCCTACAGACATGACTAATGTGGCTATCAAGTACACTAAAGTCATATTCTGTTTGTGTAGGTCCTCCAGATTCGAGACGTTAGAATAAAGGTACCAACTTTTTTAGGTAGTCTATTTTAGTAGGGGCAACCTTGGAAATCCATCGCTTCCGTCCACCTCCGCGGGCCCCAGGCCGGCGCCTGACTCAGGGACTTCCTGAAGGAGTCCTGCCGTCCAGTGACGTGTAGTGCGAATTCCTTGGTTGCTGTTGACCCCCATGCAAAAAGTTTATTTTCTCAGGTTTAGTAGAAAACCACTTGATTTCCCAAAAAGTTAAAGTCTAAAGATCCAACCCAATAGCAGTGAAGATTCAAGGAAAGAGCCCGGAATCTGTGATGGTCCATCAACTTTAGTTGCCAGAAACTTTTGACGGTAGATTTGTGTCAAACCCTTTTTTCCCTGCGGCTACTTTACTTGCCAGGAGTGGCCCGATTCCCTTGGTACAGGAAATGGCAACTTAAAACCAATGTTCGATGTTTTTCGGCCTCTGTCCAACTCTTTGCACGTAGGAATACGAATCAAAGACCCGATCGTCCATGAAAAATGACAGAGACCAATGATCCTGTCGGTTTTCGTTGGCGGCAGCAGTTCCCTGAAAGTGCAGGATGCCCCTAAACTGGGGAAAAACACCCTCATGAATCACCGAAAAATGTTCTCCTGAATTTGTCCAATCTCAAAAGCCCAAATTGGGATGCCTGTTCGCCTCACGGCCAGCACGCCGGGGTGATTCTACCAAGATGGTCGCAAAACTCTGTAATTGTCGGCCTTGTTGCAAGCCCCTTTGAAACTGGTAAGAATTGGACCCCCACCTAGTGCTCCGACGCAGGCGACCAGTCTGCATTGCAAGGTTTGCAAGATCAAAAAACGTGTGACTCATGGCATGAACCGACAGCCCGGATCGCTCTCAAACGTCCAAGGCGTCTGGGTCTAGCGGTTTGCGATGCGCCAAGGTGAGCCACGCTGGAACTGACTTCCCTTGGTTGTGTCGGGATATCCTGGGTCTTGCCCCAAGTGGAGAAAGTGCAAAATCCCAAGCACAAGTTTCGACAGAAGTGCAGTCTTCCCGGGGGTTGGAGGGATAAGAGCAAGACTTGGGAAAACGCCGTGCCACAAAACGCCCTGAAGCTGGTTTTCAGGGGCTTATCCCAAATGTCCCCAGCAAAACTTTTCCCACATTTCTAGGAGACCATGTTGAGCCTTCACTCCTTTGGCCCAGACAGCCAAGACAAAAAGGTTCTCATCGCCCGCCTCAAACTCGTGACTTGCCGTTGAGGGCCTCCCCTGCGAGGTTGAGGTTTCCAATTCCGGTTTTCCGCAGCCTTCCCACGAAGGGGACCTGCGATGGGACCATACATCAAGGCGTAGCGACGCTCCCTCAATACAAGGGAACAATGTGGTACGTTTTGGACGGGCTGCCCGCAACCATAAAGCAGGGTCTCAAAGTAGGAAGCCCGTCTTGGCATCGTGCCAAAACAAAAGGTGGGTTACCTACCTAATCAAAGCACACCTCTTGTACAGTGCTTCCAAAGCAAGAATTTTCCAACTCATCACGAGGAACCTCCACTATGGCTCCCCCGCCAGCGCCCCCCCCCCTGCCTCTCCCAGCAGCAAGGCGACCACGGCGGATGCCTTGGACCATCTAAGCTTTGGACTCCCAGCCAGGCAAATTCATGGGAATAGAACCCACAAAGGGGGAACAAACCCACAAAAAATTGAGATGTGTCTTTTCCCGAAAGCATGGCGAAGGGCTCTTCCGCTGGGTTCACTTGAGTTGTTCTCATGAGAGTCATTACAAGGTGTCATTGCAAGGAATCATCATCATGAAAGTCAATGCAAGGAGTCATTGCAAGGAGTCATTGCAAGGGGTCATTGCAAGGAGTCATTGCAAGGAGTCATTGCAAGGAGTCATTGCAAGGAGTCATTGCAAGGAGTCATTGCAAGGAGTCATTGCAAGGAGTCATTGCAAGGAGTCATTGCAAGGAGTCATTGCAAGGAGTCATTGCAAGGAGTCATTGCAAGGAGTCATTGCAAGGAGTCATTGCAAGGAGTCATTGCAAGGAGTCATTGCAAGGAGTCATTGCAAGGAGTCATTGCAAGGAGTCATTGCAAGGAGTCATTGCAAGGAGTCATTGCAAGGAGTCATTGCAAGGAGTCATTGCAAGGAGTCATTGCAAGGAGTCATTGCAAGGAGTCATTGCAAGGAGTCATTGCAAGGAGTCATTGCAAGGAGTCATTGCAAGGAGTCATTGCAAGGAGTCATTGCAAGGAGTCATTGCAAGGAGTCATTGCAAGGAGTCATTGCAAGGAGTCATTGCAAGGAGTCATTGCAAGGAGTCATTGCAAGGAGTCATTGCAAGGAGTCATTGCAAGGAGTCATTGCAAGGAGTCATTGCAAGGAGTCATTGCAAGGAGTCATTGCAAGGAGTCATTGAGTCATTGCGAGGAGTGCGCATGGAGTCAAGTGCAAGTTGCAAGTGCAAGGAGTCAAGTGCAAGTTGCAAGTGCAAGGAGTCAGGCGCAAGTTTCAAGTGCATGGTGTCAAGTGCAAGTTGCAAGTGCACGAAGTCAAGTGCAAGTTGCAAGTGCAAGGAGTCAAGTGCAATTGACTTGCGAGGAGTTAAAATCTCTTCTTAGGGCGGCGGGGTAGTGCCGACGACACTACACGAAATCGACCCTCTGCGGGTGCAAAAACCCATGGTTTTTTGCAATTTCTAAAGTTCCCGCGCGACCCTCTGCGGGGATCGGCGTGGTCGAGGTGCAAAAACCCATGGTTTTTTGCGATTTCTGCGGTGCTCGCGCGACCCTCTGCGGGGATCGGCGTGGTCGAGGTGCAAAAACCCATGGTTTTTTGCGATTTCTGCGGTGCTCGCGCGACCCTCTGCGGGGATCGGCGTGGTCGAGGTGCAAAAACCCATGGTTTTTTGCGATTTCTGCGGTGCCCGCGCAACCCTCTGCGGGGATCGGCGTGGTCGAGGTGCAAAAACTCGAGGTTTTTTGCGACTTTTGTTGTTCGAACTGGTCCTCGGGAGTTGTCTCGTGGTTCGCGCGCCTGCTCCCGGAACCGGCGGGTCGCGGGTTCGATTCCTCCCTGGTCCGCGGGCGGGCGTCGCAAGATGCAACTTGCATTTTAAAGCAACTTGCGCAGAGCAACTTGCGCAGAGCAAGTTGCACAGAGCAACTTGCGCAGACCAACTTGCACCGACCAGTTTGCGCAGAGCGCCTTGCCTAGAGCAACTTGCGCAGAGCAACTTACGCAGCAGCAACAACTTGCACAGAGCAACTTGCACAGAGCAACTTGCTTGCACAGAGCAACTTGCAGGGAGCGCAATTTGCACAGAGCAACTTGCAGCAGAGCAACTTGCAGGGAGCCAGTTGCCGGAGCAACTTGCGCGGAGCAACTTGCGCAGAGCAACTTGCACAGTGCACTTGCGTAGAGCAACTTGCGCAGACCAACTTGCACCGACCAGTTTGCGCAGAGCACCTTGCCTGGTGCTGTCTCGCGCTTGCTTCACAAATGCTTCGTGGAGGGAAAAAGAACGCATCCTGCAGCGTTGGGCCGACCTCACTTGCGATGTTATGCTTTCGGGCCAACCGTGGTCTAGTTTTTTGGGGGGTCCATGGAAGAGAAGTTCAAATAAAGGCAAGGCGGTCCAGACGAAACGTGGAAAATTGATGGTTTCCTTTCCTTTCCCCCCAAAAAGAGTGCCCCGGAAATATGAGACCCGCCCACTGGATACTGTGGAAGGATAACACCCGTGCCAGGCGCTGGATGAAGCCCGATTCGAAGGGAACCGCCCAGTGCGAACTGTCCTTGTCCATATACGGCATTTATCATATACCCTCTCTCAGGTGAACATGAAACCAACAAAACATGTTTAGAGGAAGTTCCTTTTGGTGGACCCCCTTTTTTGGGTGCCTTACGAAAGTTTCATGGGGATGCCATTTCTAGATCTTCTAACGGTGCGCCTTACCAAAAGGTCTTGGCCCGTGGCCCGTTGGCCGTGCCTTAGGATGTTCGGCCGCTGTTCGTCACTGGGATTCTTTGCGCATCAGGAAGCTGATCATTGGCTGCGGTTGACCCCTCTGCAAGAAGTCTAACTTTTTTGGTACTGGTAATAATGGAAAATCCATTGCGTCCCAAAAAGCTAAAGTCCAAACATCCAACCAAATGGCCATAAAGATAAGTGGTTTACAACCTAGGATGTGATGATCGCACATGATGCTGATAATCACATGTCTTCGAATCAACGTCCAAGAATCAGGAATATGCAAGGGAAATGCCTCTGCTAGGAAACTCGCCATCTCCTTGGCGCTCCTATTTTAGGAGGGCCCCTTCAAGTGGAACCACTTTGAAGAACCCAGGCAACAGTAGCAGCCGTCTGCGGGCTGATCTGTGCCGTTCTTTTTCACAAGCCGGTTGCTCTAGGTTTTGGGGTGGTTCTCTGGCAAAAATCACCCGTGAAAGAAGCATACCCCCAAGATAAAGGTTAGCTTTCTGGAAATCATGACGAGAAGTCGCCCCCTCCCGTCATACACACACACATGCACACTGAATCACTACCTGACTGGCCAAACAAATCGTCCAAACTTTATATCTACCACCAAATTCTACAGGGATCCTTACATTATGCACCTGAACATTGCCTTCAAATTGTGGTTTCCCTTTATTTTGATGGAAGAAGCCATGTTTCAAATGGGCAAAATGTATCTTTTAAGGAGCCCTGTTGTTCTTGCCCCCAACACAAGAAATTCCAGGAGCTGTCAGTCAGTCATGTTGGCTCAAGTTCTTGCCCTTACCTCGTGAAAGAAGCCCCCTATGCGCCGCCCAGGTGGGGTGGCGGGGTCCTGGAAGAGGTCCCCAATTTCGAAGGGCTCCATGTAAATTTGACCCCAGAGTAACCAACCCCTGTTTGTCCATAGGACGTGTTTTTGGATAAGTGGGGAATAAGCGAAGGCCGCGCCGAGGCCACTGCCTCCGTGTCTGCGAACTCCTCTCTTTCCACCGCCTGCGCCACCTTCTCACCTAGGCGCGAGAAAGCACGACGTGAGATAACTTAGGGGAAATGGGAATACCTGCCAGGAGAAATGAGGAAACCGGAAGCAGGAAAAATACAAACAACAAAAACGCAAGCATTTGGAAACACTTGAACAAGCATGGTAACGATCGAAGCGGGGTGTTCCCCCCAAAAGGGCTAGGGGAACTTATTTGCCAAATCACATGTCGGTTTGGCCTATTCTCCTGGGTCCGCCGACTTTTGGGGAAATGGTTGAGGAATTGTCCCTTAGCCACCCGCTGCCTGCAAAACAACCATGGATGGACACAAATTCCTGCACCAGTTGCTAGGTGATTCATATGAATATCCCAGTAAGGGCCACATGAGAGTCACAATCAAAAACTTGGCATGAACATGGTGTAAACCATGTAGAGAATTCAAAGGGCGGATTCCCGCACCTCTGGAAATTGGGCTTGTCCTTTAACCTCTGGTAGTGACTACCGGCCCAAGCCCCGGAACCCCCGGGCCGAAGCCCCGGAACCCCCACAAAGATTGGGCAAGCGAGTGGCGAGCAAAGCCGGTAGACATTTCTGAGTATGCTTCATCCTTAGAAGAAACCGCCTTGAGAGCAGAAGCCTGCTTTGTTCTTGTGGGATGGAGTGTACAAAGTTGAGTTTTGAGAGAATGCGCATTGCACAGGACTACTCACTGAGGAAATGATCCATGGCCCATCCAAAGCAGCTTCTGCTTGATATGGAAGTAACCCCTCCAATGTGTTGAATTCCCTCTGAGTAGCGGGTGGTGCATTTAATCGACCACAGGTACTCCTTCAATGCACCTCCCCTAGCAAATCTGATCTCCAATCCCTCGCAAATCTACCTTCCTTTGCCCCCTATTCGACCCACAAAACAACCCCGTTGCTTGCGGGACCTTAGAAGCTTGCGGCTGAGTCACAAATGACCTGCACGTGTCTTCGAACTTTGCTCTGGGCCCAAAGTCTCCACATCGCACCAAAACCAACGGGATCCAAAATGGAACAGCATGTCTTAATGGCTCCAAGGCCCAAATAGGAGAACCGCGGGCATGAGACATCAAAGCATAGCTACATTCGGGGACAGGCAATATTCACATATGCCTCTTGACGCGCACACATAGATCATCATAGATCAGTGGATCGACCAACTCCTGCACCAGTTGGGATGGATCAAGCCTGAGATTTCCTAGGATGAGAAGCCTCTTCCCGGCGCCTTTGCCACTCACCCAGTTGCACTAGTAGGCCCCCAGTACTGCCCACAATGTCCAGAATGTGAAGGTCTAACCCGTCCCTCTCAGTTGTGTCACCGCAGTATCGCCCCCAACTCGATTGCGATGGCTGACACATACCTGAGACTGTTTGAAAGGTTTGTCCGGGGCCCATGTAGTTCAAGTACCCGTCTAGCTGAAAAACTGCAAACTTCACAATGCAAATATTGAGACCATTGTTGTTCAACTTAGGCTCTGCGAGCAGCAGCATCTGGGAAGACCGTCCACAAACGTTCTGGTGGGCATTGTCCAGCACAGTCAAATCGTCGGCTTGTATCCCCATGGGTGAGGTCGAAGAAGGGCTTCGCCGGCCATAGCAGCTCATAGCCCTTGTGGAACCCAGCGAAGGATACATGAAACCCAACTCGGCCATTCGGCCATTCGATTCTCAAGGTATGTCAACAAAAACTCTTAGAGTCCAAGAAAAGTACCCTCCCACCAATCAACATGCAACCTGACAAAAGGTTTCTTCAAAAGGAAACTGGTCTTCCAGGACCCCTGTCAGATTCCATGTTAGTTGGAGGGTTTTTGATTTCTGTCTTGAATTTCTGGTGGACAGCTCCCAACCTGATAGCTTCCCTGCCCGAAACTGGATGCTCGCAACTGACTTGCTGAAGTTGCATCTGCCATGTTTGTGGCTTGCCACCTTCGAGTCGACGCACCTTGCCCTCTAGGCGTCTGAAAATGGAAGGCCCAAAATGAAACCAAAAGGATGCTGTCCCGGTCCCAAACTTGGGAGCACTATTGGCCCAAGAGACTCCAGCACAACCAGCAACTCTTTTGCGGATTCTGCTTTTTGAGACACACCCATATGGGCTGTGGCTCAAAAGATGCACCAAAATGGCGCCTTGGCAAATGGAACCAAAGTCTAAACCTTGCTTAACCCTGTAATAGGGGTGACTTGAGCCAAATGTGGCCATGTGTGTGTTCATGTTATGTTCGTACGTCACTTGGAAACCATTCATTTTAGACACCCATATGCCATCCTCTCTCGTCTTGGGCACACACGCTGTGGCCAGTTGTTGGCACCAGCCTCCTCGCGCACCACAACTTCTCCTAGCACCACTGAAACAAGGCGCCGGTGAAAAGGTGGTTCAAACAAAAACAATCCCTACTGTGGGTGCACGACAACCCTGGAATCATGAGTCCCAAGAACATACCAAACAATTCCTTTGGCTTCAGAAAGTGGTGCAGGATTCCGTCCACCCACAGTATGGTTGTCAAGGGCCCCCCAATCGGGGCCGATTCCCCAATCCCAATAGGAGCTACCGGCAACTGAGGTCTATTCGGAGCTAACAGGGCTCCTCGTGGGACCATTTCCAGGGGTCCCCACTTTGGGGGGGGCCTGACAACCATAGAATACGGGGTAAACACTTACACACATGATCCCCTTATGTTCATGTAATAATACTTTGTCAGTGAGCAATGGCATGGTTTTAAGATATGCGTATGAGGGTCCTCACGCCACGTTACACGGGAGTCGGCCACTTGATCGGAACCCCACTTTTCACGGGCATGGGTCTTGGAGGCATGGAGGTTCTGGACCAGTGAAAGAGGTTATATAACTGCGTGATACGCCTCGTTGGTCGCAAACAGAATGCCCAAAATTCGTCCCAACAAGTTCCATTTGCTTTGGGAACGGTTTCCATCGGTTTCTCTGTCCGGCCCTATTGGTGGCTGGCCAATCTACGTGTAGCACAAGCAACGCTGGGCTTTCCATGCTTCAGAGCGGGGGGAATGGACAGGAGGAACGGTCCCTTTCGAGCCGTCACCGCAAAGAATGTAAAAATCGAACTTGTTCACGGCCACAAGGCGATGTTCAAACCACCAGGGGGCATCTGGCAGTCTGCAAACCCAGGATTTGTTCCTTTCAACAATGCTACAATTGCCCCGTGACACCACGATGGACCAGCCTTCTGTGATGTTACCTTTGAAGGGGAACATCCGGGTCTGTACCGAAGATGGCACGATAGGGAGATGCAGCTGGAGCCGGTTCTTTTGAATGACTCGCTATTAGGACCTAAATGTTCAAAATGCTGCACTTGAAAAATCAACTTGGGACATGACCTTAAGGGAGTCATGACTGGGTCAGATCATGGCATGATCATAAAGGAATCATCATCTTGCCTTTTTAAAGAGACAGGGGGCGCCACCTCAAGTTGGCAGACATCCGGGGCATTCAAACACACAGATGTTTCTTTCATAGCCGGCCATAAAATAGAAACATCCTTTGGAGGAGAGCCTTTTGTCCATGCTTCACCCGTCAGTTTGGCCATGGATGCCACGAGGTCACTGGGAATTGCGGTCACTCGCATCACTCGCCGCCTGGTGACAGATCTCCGCAGCTTTCCGCCGCAGCGATGCGCTCCTTCGAGCGCCGAGGGCGCTGGAAAAGAAGCCGCCGGCTTGGGAGGCGGCAAAGGGCCAGACTTAGACTAGGTCCTGCAGTAGAGAGGTTAGACAACAGCTACCGTTTTTTTTGTTGGGTTTAACTTTTTTTGGTGTAGTCGGTTTTAGTAAGGGAACTCTCCCCCAAAAAAGACATGGTAAAAGGGCACTACTGGGGGACCTAGTACACCTCCTGAAAAGTTACACAGGCTCCCAGGAGGCCTCTGTGAACCAAGTCTTCCAAAGGGGTCCTGGGAGCTTCCATGTTTGTCTGGGGGGGTTTAACTGTTTGATGGTTGCAACGGAACATGGGTGAAAGAGAAGGCAAACTGTCAAAGTCATGACTTGGATGTTGAACCTAAATTGGGGCAGAGATTGTCATGGACGCCTTAGCTGCCTGAAGGATGGTCACAATCCGCGCCAGGCACCAGTTTGGAGGTGGTTTATGAACCATGCAGGATTCTGTCCATCCGCACTAAGCAGGTTGCACACATGATTTAGGGGAAGTAACCCCATTTTCCCAAGTTAGAAATATGGGTATGCCCTACCTAAGTGGGCTGAAGGCTACCAAGGCGCGAGAGGGTCCGTAACGCGAAGACAAACAAACTACACAACTGTGCTTCCAGGGATGAGTTGGGAAGGGCATATCAACTGAATCGCGCATTCTCCATCCTTAGATTGCCTGAGTTGGCCTTAGTGGCCTTTGTTTTGCCTTAGTATCTCCACTTTATCAAGCCTTGTTCGGGCTGGATGACTCTCAAAAAGCTCAAAGTGGTCGGAGGGATTGGAGGGTGACTGAGGGTAATGGTGCAAGACTCCTTGCCGTGCGTACCCCCCCCCCCAGCCAGTGAACCGGTTAAGCGTGTCCTTTTTGGTACCTTTCTGGCAAGTTGGGTAAGAGTACTACTCTTACTGAGGCTTCTCGCATGTAGCTCAATACTGAGAACTCCTCCTGCGACTTCCTTTCATACTTCGACCCACCCGCCCATTCACCGGACGTGGTACATTGGATCAAAGGTCCCTCTTGAGAATGCCCCCCACAGCATCCTGGCATTTCACCTGCATCCGCCGAATCTCTGGATGACAAACACTCGTCCCTTGCTATTTCCCGAGTCCCCCAACGAAAACAATTGATTGGATCCGCAAAGAAGGCGAAGCAAACAAAGAACGGTCCAGTTCTCTGCCCAACCCAGGATGTGCTAGCAAAACAACTTTATTATCCGAAGCCATCTAAGAATGAAGCCTCAATTACGCAAAGAAACATGTTTGATAATAATGCTGTTTCATAATGTGGATGTTTTGCACCACCTAAGAAACCATGGTGGAAACCATAACCTTTGTTGGCATTGACAGGGGAATCGAATCGTTCCGTGGGGTTCTTAGGCGGCGCAAAATGGAATTCGTCCATTCACAGTAGGGCTACGTGGCCTTCAGAGCCTGGCTACAAGTCGCCTCGAAATCCATTTCATCCCAAAGTCCAATCTGATTACTTCTCATTCTGGCTGGTGGTAACCTTCTTAATCCGCAATCCGCAAATCATGGGGGGGGGGATTAGTTTTTGAACAAGCTACAAACAGGGCATGAGGTTTATCCTCAGGTCCAGGATTTGGCTGTTGGCAACCTGGCTGTGTGTTTTGGAGGGAGGGTACCTGTTTGTTGGCTGGTTAACACAAAACACAACCTTTAAGGTTGGCAGCAACAGCATCAACAGTCAAAAGCTTGGAATCTTAAACTTGTTGATTTGTATAAATTGTGGGTCCCGAAGCGCCATTCCAATCTTGACACAGAGACCCTTTGGTCCAAATAAAAGCACCAGGGCTCTGGGACGCCCCTCCTGGATGGCAGCAATGCGCGCAGCCAAGGACGAACAGCTGGGCTTGTATGGGTTGCCTCAGTTCCAAGGTGGACCAGGAGTTTGCCTGCCCCTCACTCCCAGCGTGGATTGGCAAAAGCAATTAACAAATAAACTTTGCCATTTCCCCTAAGATCTACGTCTTCCAGTAGAGAGGTTAGAATAAGGTTACCATTTTTTATGTAGTCTATTTTAGTAGGGGAACCCTCCCAACCAAAAAACAAGCGGTAAAAGGGCACTACTGGGGACCTAGCTAAGATGGTCCAAACCCAAAAAGCTTCAAGTCCAAAACGGAACTCATTCAGTGAGACCCGCCAACCATGAAAGTGGACGATCCGAACCTTGAAAGCCCTCCTCTGGGCTTCCATGGTTCTTGGAAAGATCTTCTCCCTTCGTCGTTTGGAGTTTGACGCAGATTCGCCAATATTAGAACCTGGAGTGTCCATGACCCTTTGAAAATGGGGTCGTTACCTACAATTAAGCGGTCATGACCCCATTGTCTGAGGGTCATGGAGACTCCAGGTAGGTATCCTAAGGTAGCAAATCAGAATCTCAAAGTGGTTCCCTGGGTTTTCTACTATACAACTATACAGCAAAACGGAAACTAGAAGACTCTTCGAATCTTTTCGGAGATGCCCGCCTAGACCGGAGGCCGCTAGACCTGAAATGGAGGGGGCCTCGACCGCTTGCCTGAAGTGGAGGGGACTGCACTTCACGTGACAGTCGGACGCATGCCCCCAAGAAACATCTCCACATGGCCTCGACTTTATTCTTGCAGGGGGCCTAAGGCCAACTGAAGTCAGCTGCTCATGTGAAAAGCTTATTCTTTTGATAACCGCGAGAGGATTGGTGGCTCTATCTTGCGCAGACCCTCTGTGGCCACACAGATTCACTAACGAGGGCTTGAGCTGTCCAACCGGTTGAGCCAAGACCACATTCTATTTCCCACTACCTCATGAGCACCTCAGGTGCTTCCACTTCTTCATGTCCACAGGGTTTACCCGAATCTACAGACACGGAGCGCAAGAGAGAGCCGCAACTTTTCTTGACCTCCGAGCCACCCTCCCGGCAAGTTGAGCCCGCGGCCGCCCTGATTTGGCACAAGCCTGGGCTCGCGCAAACCGAAATGGAGCCTTCATCAAGGGAAAGCTTGGTGAATGAAGAGCTTACCTTTGATGCCGGAAGCCATCCAACAAAAAGGTTTCCCCAAGTTGAAGCCATTCCCAACGAGTTGCGACTCAACGTTGGCTCTGTCCACCCGCGCAAAGTGGTTGGCACAGCCAATCTTCAAGGGAGCCTGAACGGGGTTCTAACGGTTCTAATAGACCGGTTCCAGCTTGCACCAAAGGACGATTACGCTTGTAGCATCCTCGAACCGATTTGTTATAACAGTTAAACCCATTTTTTTCTGGCGAAAGTTCGGGTCGGCACCCATATATTCTGGCGAAAGTTCGGGTCGGCGGCACTCCCTGCACATCGCGTGCCTGAGTTTAAAGGACCTCTGACCATTCCGGAAGTTGAGGGCTACTGGCATTTCCGTCAGCCGTCTTGCAATAGGCAAGGAGAGAGGCAAGGAGAGAACCTTCCCAGGGCACGCCCAATGTGGAGTCCATGTTAGTAGCAACTCACTTCCTGAATGGATTGGCAGAGAAAAAGTCCAAACTTTGGATCTATCTACCACAAAGAAAGTAAAACGCTCAAACATTTGGTCTACTGAAAAGGTCCCTGCCGAAAGTACAGCCCCCAGACACGCGGGAAGCAGGGTGAGGCTCAGTCTCTCTCGGCATCCCCTTAAGCAGTTCCAGTCCCCTATTGCGCACGAGCGGCACTACGCGTCGTGCTCCGCATTTTCTCAGGGCCTTGGAGGACAGCATTGCGGGGGGGTTTCAGCAGGGGGTACCAATTTAAGTGCCGGTTGAAACATGTGAAGTCAATCGTAATCAATCGTACTTCGTTCGGCTTTCCCTTAAATAACTGAGTAGGGCTTCCCCCAGGAGACAAACGGTGCACTGTACAAGGCAAAGCGTCCAACAAATCTAGACGGCGATTCGGTTCCACGACAAACCAGCCATGTAAATGCTCAATCCTTGTTGCCCCGAGTTTGCCCCACTCTCAGCATGGCGCCGTGCGGCTGCGCTCAAAAAGGGCATCTGGGTGAGGCACAAATCCGACTCACCCACGAACACGGGATCCCTATGAACCAACAAATGAACAATCATACGGCATGGGTGAGGATGGCGCCAGCCCAAACTCTTTGCGAGCTCTGAGGGTGCAGCTTCAGTACTTCTTTGGGCCCACGGGCGTTTTTTTTTTTTTTTGTGGGGGACCTGAGCTGCAGCTGCTGATGCTTTGGGCAACACCCAGACCATTGCTGCAGTGCTGTGGGTAGCACCAGAACCATGCCTGGCACCACGGCTTCAGACAACTTTTGCTTTAGGGAAGGCCCCGTGCTGGAAAGAGGGTCATTGGTCTCTCCAAGTCTTGCGTTTTTGCTCAAACAGGTGTACCTGCTATTGAGTTGATTTGTTTTAGGAAAACAGAGAGAAAATAATGAAACACACAAAAAACAACAGCAACAACCATTTCAGGAGCCTCCATTTTGAGAAACACCCAAATACTTGAACGGCGGCAGATCTGAAGTCAGCAACTCCAAACTATCTCTTGAGGTGCTGGCACAGAGCACCAGGCGGAAGTGGTTCTCGTGCAAAGGGTCAAACCTCGGGTGGTTTTTGTTCTTTACTTGGGGGGGGGGGCCTAAGCAACCCGCACAAATCAACAGCTAACATGGAAATCACCACCAGGCCCCTCCACATCAAGAAGCAATTGACCTTAGGACCTGCAGTCAGGTTCAATGGCAGGCTGGGGGGACTGAATGCATACAGGCATGCTTTTAATTCAGGGGATTTATGTCCACCAACCGCTTGAGGGCGATCCAAACAATACAACACCATTGCCCAAATGGGGCTGAGTACCCATTGAGCTCCGATCCAAAGTTTCAGGACCGGCCCAACCGCCAAAGCTCAGCAATGCGGCCCGGGGAAGCCCAGCACAAACCCAAAAATGCACATTGAAGAAGGAAGCCCCCGGCAACGGAGCAAGCAATCCCAATCGGACAGAACACGTCCGCTTCCAAACCAAAGGACCGTTTTTTGGTTGCAAACAGCAGCAGTAGAACCCCTACCAGGTCCTTGCAGAGCTCCCGGTAGATACTTGGCTCCCTCTTGAAAGACAAATTTGGATACCACCAGCTCTGTGGCGGAAAGGGGCCACCAGCTCTAGCCTCCATTTGCTTAAGTCCCCTGGAAAAAATAAAACATATTTCCAGTAATGATAGATTCCCTTTCAAATCAATAGGGGAAAATAAAAACACTATTCTTAAACAAATGGAAGCTTGTGGAAACAGTACAGCCTCGCGAGACGCTATGGCTGCAGGTGCACAGGTCAGGGCCCCACATACTCAAAGGTTTCGACGGGCTGGGCTTTTCTGAAGCAAAGAGGGAGTAACCCAACTCTAGAACAGGCCCCTTGTAAGAACTTCAATTTGATCCATGGGGGCTGCCTGTCCCAAACTGCGCCTTGAAGGAAAGTAGGGTTCGTGAAGAGGCATGGAATTGAAATATATACAGCTTCGTGGCCAGAGAGGTGCGGTGGATTCTGCCATGTGACAAGTGGGCTGGGGAACTGATTGGACATCCTGTAGCCTACCGCATCTTTCCAGGTGCGGATGCGGTTGGTTCCACTGCAATATTTAGGGACCTCATCGATTCGTTTGCATTGGGGCAACTAACAGCTTCCAGGATGCTCCAACAACGCTGACAAGGAGTGCGAAATGCTCGGAATGTGGACATGTCCAATTGGTGGTCCCCTAAAAACGACACACACATGTCCAAACCTCAAAACAGTGCTGAATCCGCTACTGTGCTGCCTCCCCACGCCAGGCCGTGACACTAATGACGAATTAGCAAGCCCAGGTTGCAGAAACGCACCCCTCTGAGTCACCTGCAGAACAAATACCCTCCCAAGCAAAAAGTGGGAAATAATAGCAGGTCACTCGAAGACTTTCCAGGCCGATCATCCTCAAACCCCGACTGAAAGCCGTGCCATGAACAGTCAATGGCCTACGAGCACCGAGCGTCCCGAAGTAGAGGCCGACCTTAAGGCACAAAGCAGTGCGCTCCACCGGATATGGACTGCCGTACGTACATATGCGTATGTTTGCCTAAGGGTTCTGCTTTCGGTTGGTTGCAAAGGGAAACCAAAAGGGCACCAACCATTTGTGGGGTTCCCCTATGTTGAGACCAACTCATAATATGATGTTGCTTTTACCCATGCAAAACCATCGGGGAAAATGCATGACAACTGCGATAAGAGGATGTCAGACTTGCCCAATCGGCTTTCGCATCAGGGACCTCTATTAATCGGAGGCCTAGATTGGAAAGGCTGAGTGGAAAGCAATGAAAGCAATCGGTACACCTGAAGGCGTGCCCATTTTGGAGATCCTCTTAGCATACGGCCAACCTCCCCAACAAGCCGGGCAGCTCGCCTTCATCACGTGTGGCTGATGCGAGGGCATCCCCCTGGCATGAGCCCCGTCCGCCTCAAACCGACAAAACACCTACCGACCATGTTGTCCGTCCCTGGAGTCTCCATGACCCTTAGAAAGTGGGGTCATGACCCCTTAATTTTTGGTATCGACCCCATTTTCAAAGGGTCATGGAACCTCATTTTCAAACAGAAAGCAAGGTCCTGAGCGGTGGGTTTTTTCGTATAACTTTTCAAAGGGTCATGGAACCTCTAGGTTACTGATACGCGTGTGGTTTTTAGAGGGGCGCGCTCCTCGCCTCGCTGCGAAGGAGAGCCCAAAGAAAGCTCCCGGAAATTTCTGGGCTTCTTGCCAGCGCTCGGTGCTTCTCTCCGACGAAGAGGTGCCGCCTCGGGGAGACATTGACAAACATTGGTTCGGGTCGAAACTAGGTCCTCCAGATTTGAGAGGCTAGAATCAGGGTACCAACTTTTTTCCGCAGTCTATGTTAGTAGGGGAACCCTCCGCCCAAAAACGGGCAAGAAAGGGCACTACTGGGGGACCTAGTCAGATGCTCACAAGACTTCGAGTTGCAATAAACTGCATGTCTGATATCCGCCAGGCGGCCAGTCAGCTTCAATTTCATACTCTCTTGGACTCCATTACTGATGGCCCGACATGTCGGCTACCCAAAGGCAGCGTCTGAAGTTCGGGCCTGAAGCACACCCTGCTGGTGAACCTCCCTCTGCTTGAGGCCTTTCCAACAATCATGGAAGTGGAAGGGAGGTTCCCAAAAGGAAAGTCGTCTTCCCCAACCTTCCGATTGTCAGCTTCCATGATTGTTGCATGGGTAGTTTCCCCTTGAAACCAAGCAGGGGGAATAAAGCAACCCCTTACCTTTCAATGATTGTTGGAGCGCCTTCGTTCTTCGCGACAGCCCGGGAAGTGAACCATACTCTTCAGCCAATGGTCCCACACCTTCCTCTTAGCTTCCATGATTGTTGGATGGGTAGATTGCCCTCGAAACCAAGCAGGGGGAGCTAAACTTGGTTGCTGTTGACCCCCCTGCAAAAAGTTTAATTGATTGGGGTTCAGTGGAAAACCCGTTGATTTCCCAAAGAGTTAAGGTCTAAAGATCCAACCCAATAGCAGTCAAGTAAACCAATGGAAGTGCAAGGCTCGGGTTGGGGAGTGGGGCAATGCTGCGGCGCCCGCTAAGTCCGCCTTTTTGCCCGCCCCTTGCCGCGCGCGGGCTTCCGCGGCGCCGGCCTGGCCAGCAAACATATCTGGGCTACCCTCCTTACCTCACAAACGACGAGCCACCCATATGGTTTTTGGGAGTGGACGAAATCCGCTTCGGTGGCTTGTCCCATTCATAAGGCTCCAGGCGTGCAGGATTTGGCCCATCCACAGCATATGTAACTGGGTGTTTTTGCATGTGGGTGTGGCTCAAAATTGAAGAGCTAGGGTTGCGCAGGTTTTAGTCCTGGGTTCCAAGACTAAAACCTAGCTGTCACTTTGGTACATGCTTGCGGTCCACAGCCATGTCAGTATCCATGCGATTGTCAAGGGCTCCCTGTCTGCTGCGCCGAGGCTCGGCTGCTTTGGCCGCATCTGCTCCAGCGCGTGTCGCCGCTCCTCGTCCCCGCTCAGCGGAGCTCGCCGGGTGCCGGGGAAGGAGCGCCTGAGGGGCGGGGCTGGGTGGGGCCGTGGCTTACCAGCGGAAGAATAGGTGTGGCCTTTTTTAAGGGAACCCAAAAAAACAAGACAACTGGTTGTTTTCCTTTTGGTTTTCGCTTCAAGCCGGAACAAAAGGCATCCCCAAAAGAGAAGACACACCCACATTCAAAAACCACCTGTTTTATGAGGAGATCCTCTAAATCAGGTGGTATTGGGTGGTAGGCTACATATCCAGGGTCGACATTGGCAGTCCCCACCCCTAACTGTCTCTTCTTGACAGATCCCATGACAGGAGGCGGGGGGGTCCCCGCCAACAAACCACAGCGGGGTTGGGCCATCACACCCTCTACTCCAAGAACCGTTCATTTTAGCGGTCCTCGAAAATAACCGGGTTCTTCGTGGGAAAACCGTTTTTTCCCCCCCCTTTTTTTGAAAAGCATACAAACATACAGGGCTTGTATGGGGTTTGTATGGGTTTTGTATTGTGTTGTACGTTGCATTGAAAATAAACCAGGTGTTTGGTTGTGTTTTTGGTAAGCATAGGTTCTTTCTGTCTGCATCCTTTACTTTTTCAAGATTATTGGAGTAGAGGGCATTGTTTAAACATGGCAATATTGCGGATGAACACAATCCCGCAGCACTTTGAAACCATGGTTGAACGCATTGTTGCTGGCATTTACCGGGAAATCGAATCATTCCAGTAGCTCTTCAGGTGGTGGGAAATGGATTTGGTCCATCACATGGAGAACGGGGCATCCACCATCGGTCTCTGCAGGCGTCGGGATGAAGTTTGAGGCAACCCCCGGGGCCCAAACGTCGCTGGCTCCCACATCCCTGGTTGTTTCCGGAACCAAATTTCTCAGCGACTGTAATGAAAGGAGCCTCAAGAAAACCGTTCGTCTGAGTGGCTGCTGGTTGAACTCGAAGAAGTCCACATCCGGCTGTGACAGCACAAACCTCGAGTTGCGCATGTGGATGGGAGTCGCCCCATTGTTCGCTTCGCACGGAAGTAGAAATTTGAGGAGTAGGGAATCCTAAAGGCATGCCACCTTCAAGCTGAAAGGCACCAGTTCATCATGGGATGTTCAAGCCTGCGTTTTGCCTGCCATGGCCAGACCAAAACTCTCCAAGCTATGACGCTCCCATCAGTTCCTCCAAACAACCTGCCACAGGGGAAGAAATTTGGGCCCTGGCGGAGGCCAAGCCCCTACGGGGGGGGGCTCCAGTCAGGGGTAGACATCTGCCCCCTGGTAAAGGGACACAACGAAGAGGACACCAAACCAACTTGTTACCCTTGGCTTTGATCATCGTTAAACGGCTCGGAGCAGCCCCCTAGAAATCTGCACACCCCTAGTGCCAAGCGGCCGCTGGATGTCAGCCACTTCCTCTGTCCTGACAGGCGCAACCAAAAAGCGGAGGTGCATCCTTGTTTTGCCCATTCACGGTATGATTGTTGTGTCACTTTTGCAGGGCCTCCCGCAAAAGAAAGTGACCACAACCAAAGACACCCACCATCCTGCCTTACCAATTGGCGGGTTGGATTGGCTTTGGCGGCCTCCAACCATTCCCCTTGACATTGGAAGGCACCTTCAAATCAGCGACCCAAACCCGCCAACTAGGGCAAGCCGCCTGGCTTCCTGAATCACGCACGCAAAATGAAAAAGATGGGCAAAATAAACAAAGGGGTCCAAGTCACCTCCCAAGTCGAATGTTGAAGGGAACCAACCGATTCCATTTTCTCACTTCCCAGAAACGGGACCAAACTATATGACCCCGGCAAGATCTTCCAGCTACCAGTTTGCATGTCCCGGTTTCAGGATGCTTAAAAACCCTTGCGCCATTCAAAGCTAAGCTAAACTTCTGACTGCTCAAAGAGCTCCAAGCAGGAATGATGCTTCTTTTGAAGACATGGCTCCTTCTTCGTTCCCCTTGGAACACGTTGAGGATAAACCAGTAGCTAATAGCCCCTGTCTTTAAGGAAACCACCACTGATGTCAAAAGGTGTATTCACCAAATGTAGGTTGAACATTGAAGCACCTCAAAGTGTCTGAGTCTCTGAATCCTAAAGTGGCGGGGCCAACAAAATTGTGGCCGTTGAGGAGCCATCCCAAAAAGCTGGGCCCGGATAGGACGCAACCTGCCATAGGGTCCTTTTGCAGCCCTATCTCCAAAAAAAAGAGGTTCTGAAAAAGAGAGAGAGAGAGAGAGCGCCCTTACTTGCAAGTGGCAAGCGGAAAAAAAGAAGAAAACAAACAGGACATCTATGTTTGTTGGCTGTTCCAAAGGGAACGGACCGGAAACAAATGAACGGGCAACTGGCGAACTTGCATGGCTCTCCCAACCCGCTCAAAGCGAGATTCAAACCTACCACTGGACTTATTGCCATGACTGTTGTGACGGCCCCCTGTGGATGGACGACATCCAATTCGCACCACTTGCAAACCATGCTTGAAACCATAACGGTTGTTGATATTTTTTTTCGGGGATCGAGTTATTTCCATGGTTTCTTGGGTGACGCGAAATGGCTTTTGCAACCATCCACTGTATGGGAAGTTGTTTCAGAGGGATGCCAAAGGGAACTCGGCTTTCTTGGAAGTTAAAAGCATGGCTCATCGATCGCGAGTGCTAAAACCAAAAAGATCTACATGTGGTTGATCAACATGCAGTGTAAGCCCCACACACACCCAGAAACCGCTAGCACACTGCCAAGCAGTGGGTAGATCTCAACTTTGTGTTTCGTCGATCTGCTAAAAGTTCGACGCTGAGCCGTGGGATATGTGGAGAAAATCCACCAAAAACAGGAAACTCACCCGTCGAAAAGTCTAACCTGCTGCCTTAAAGGATACATTCAAAGCACCGCCTGCTTCACAAGGATTCGAAGACTCTGGCCAGGTGTATCCTTTGACTCACTGGCTGAGTGGATGGCCCAAAAAAAGTCCAAACTTTTTGTTTACCACCGAAATGGTCTTACCAAAAGCTTCAAAAGTTCATGAACTCAGGGAGTGAGTTGAGGAACTCCAAGGAACCGTTTTGCTGAGAACCGCCAGGTCCTCTGAGTCACGAAGAGTACCTGGCCAGGCTCCACCTCGGCCGAGAACAGCGAGATGATCGATGCGGACCAGCGAGATGTTTCAACCAGGGGTCAACAAAAATCAAGATGGAGCACAAAAATCAAGGAACCTGTGACCGCAAAAATCAAGATGGGGACTCTTCAAAAAGGTTGGACCCTTTCAGATTCATTCAACCTTCTTTTTTTTGTGGACATCGAAACTTCAGGTTGCTGAAGGTTTGCAGGAAGTAGCAAACTTCCCGCGGCCAGGTTTCGAGAAGTGACCAGCTGTCCACCCACTTGTGGCAACTAGCACATGAATGCCGCCTTGTTGAATTCAATACCTTTGTAGAGCGATAAGCATAGACAGATAGCTCCCCAGGATCTATTAATCTATATAATATCTGTCACTCCCTGGTCATCTCTGGGTCTCTGGGGATACAATGAGAGCGGATGATGGTCACAGACCAGCAGCGCTGGGAAACCGAAGCCGAGCACAGGCCACGTGGAGTTTAGGCTCCCCCTATCGGACCGGCACCCGTCGGAGAGTTGCCGAGCAAGCTTTTGCTTTTGCTCGTACAAGGTCGCCCCATTGAGAGGCTCAAAAGAAAACAAAAAAACAGCTTCCAGCCCCTTTTTTCGAGGCTCAAAAGAAAAAAAACGCTTCCAGGCATTTCCCCC